GGGGGGGGGCGGGGTGCATCAGCTGGGCGGGGCAAAGACGTGTGAGCTGCTTGGTCCCTACATTCCATGGGCAGGTGTCTTACCAATCTTAAGGAAGAAGAGTCTGGAATCCCACAAGAAGCAGATTCTTTGCCGCTTTTGTGTTTTCTTTTACTGTTTTAACAGCGGTAGAGGTGGAAGGAAGGATGGATAGATACTTGGCCTGAATACCTGGGTGTCTGATGACGTTGGGTCTGAGGAAGAATAAAAGACAGATTCTTGCCTCACCCGAGTGAGCCAAGGGCGCTCGAGGGTTTCATTGTTTTTGTTAACAGCACAGAGAAAGGAGTTGCCCTTCCAGACCCTCTGGATGAAATGGCTTTTTTGGGGAGCAGAGAGGGGACTTACCCACGTGTGGTTTGAAACTTCCCCCCGAGAAGGGGGAGAGTTTACCACGGCCTTGGACGTGGTGCTCCCTTCACTCCTTCACGCGGGGAACACCAGTTGTACTTTGGCGTTTGCTCTCCCAGCCCCGGCCCCTGCCTCCCAGCCCTTCTCACCGAACCCCAGTGGGAAGGGGTGCCATATCTGTAGCTCTCATAGTTGGGGCCTCGAGATAGATTTAGGCTTTGTCTCTTGTCGTGGGGAAGAGGTGGCCAGGGTGAAAGACTGAGGTTCCCATCCCTACACCCTACCCGAGGGCATCAGAGTCCAGGCGGTTTCCTGTACGGCTGGCAGGTAGCTTAAACCCTGGTTTGCCAGGGGCCTCCTGGAGCACCGCGTGGGGAACCCGAGCAGAGGGGACATCTGGAGATCAACTAGGAATGTCTGCCTTGGAGGGCGTAGTGGGGGATGGGGCGGAGTGATGAGCTGGCCGTATATCTGCTGTCCCTATTCTGTGGCGTGGAGTAGGGTGTCTCTTAACATGCACTTGATGCTTAGGACCATGCCTGGCGGAAAGCCAGCAGTGAAGGATGAATCCCCTTTGGGACACGGTGACCCAGGTGTCCCTTTGTCAATTCAAGGGGCGTCAGAGGCCCTCACTCCCATTGGCCCTTACGCCGCCTAAGCCGGGGGGCCTGGGACTTGAGCTGGCCACATTTGGAAGCACAGACGAGGACTGTGTTAACCCTCCCACCTGCTGGGACTCGCTCGTCCCCAGGATGGGTTCCAGAAGCCCTACTCGGCTTGGGGCTGTGGTGGAGGTCAGGGAAATCAGCGCAGAGCCACAAGGCCCCGCAGGGAGCCCCCATGTCACACAGTGACCCAGGGAAGCCCTCTTGGCCCTGCTATGCCATGGACACAGAAACACCAAGAGCAGCTAGGTGTTCCCATGTCAGGGTGTCCAAGAACCCCCGTGTCGATCACAGGATAGAGTGGAGATGCTCATGGTCTCCTGGTGGACAGAGGGCACAGGCGTGGAGAGGGGGCTGGCAGTGGGGGCCACGGATGTGGAGATGGGAGCAGCACCCAGGCCCCCAGAGCCCAGGAAGGGACAGTGGCCTCCAGGAGTATCTCTGAAGGCATCATGAAGGGCGTGGGGCAGACCGGAGCTGGCCCGGAGGAGCACGCGGGACTGCGACCCACAGGCAGACGCTGTACCTGCCCGAGTTCAGGGGCTTTCTTATCCTGTGTGCTTCTATTCCAGCGCTTCGAAAAGCAAGGAGCTTTCTCCTGGATCTGGGCAGAAAGGAAGTCCAGGCTCCAGCCAGGGGACGCCCTGTACGGGGACCCAGCCAGGGGCCCCGCCAGGCACCAGCCCCAGCCAGCCGCCCCCAGACCAGAGCCCTCACACTCTTCGGAAAGGTACGTCACCGCCACCCTTCGCGTGGGTCTCGGGCCTGGGACACTGCCTGGACGCTCGTGTCCCTCGGCGGGCGTGGATATTGAGAAACCGCGGACTTAGCGAGACGTCCCTGGGCCGGGCGTGAGAGTTTTTGGAAGTTTACCAGCTCTGAGAGGGCCCACTTCATATTTATTCCTTCTTCGACTCATTTGAACAGTGTACCCAGGGCATCGGTTCTCGTACACTAAGACCTCTGTGTAGACGTCATTGCCCAGGATGGCACGGGTCTTCAAGGACCCTTCCGGGCCCTATCGCCAGCATTTAAGATGCTATGTGGCGTCTTCGGCAGGAGCCCAGAGACACTGGCGCACAACTGCCTACCCCTGGGATCGTTTCTGGAAGGTTCCACAGATTGTTTCTGGAAGGTTCCCGAGGGAATCGGGACTGTTTCCACAGGAGTCCTGACCTTCCGTGTTTCTGTTTGGGAAGGCGGACCCATGAGCCGCCCAACCCAGAATCTTCCGTGGAGCGTACTGTAAAAGGCCCAGTTATTCTCTCTGGAATGACCTTCCGGAAGCTAACGAGCTGCTCTGTGGGGACATTTCATAAATGGGGAGCACCACGGAATGTGTACTTGTCCTAACCTTTTTTGTTTTTTTTTAATTTTTTAAAAAATGTTTTCGAAGTTTATTTATTTTTGAGAGAGAGACGGAGTGTGAGCAGGGGAGGGACAGAGAGAGAGGCCGAGAGAGAATCCCAAGCAGGCTCCGTGTTGTCAGCACAGAGCCCGACGTGGGGCTTTGAACCCACGAACCGTGAGACTGTGACCTGAGCCGAAACCAAGAGTCAGACACTCAACCCACTGAGCCACCCCGGCGCCCCAAGCTTTTTTGTGTGTTTTTAAGCCCCCTTTGTCTTTTCACA